TGAGCTGGTAGGAAAAATGGGTGTGAACTTTTTGTAAATGGAAGAAATACTTTGTGAAGACCCACTGCAGTCAACACAGTACTGCTAGGGCACTCACTACTACTTCAGTAAATAAGTGCCTGGAGTGGCATGCAGAAGACAACAGATGGGAGCACTTAACGGATCTTATTATAATTTAGATTCTCTTCTGATAGCAATAGTCTTGTTCAAGCTTTGACTTGTTTCACTTCTCTAGGATGACAAATGGGAAAAGAAGTGCCAGAAGATCTTCTCATTTGCTCATCAGACCATCAGTGCTCTGATCAAAGCAGAACTGGCAGAGCTGCCTCTCCGTCTCTTCCTACAAGGAGCACTGGCTGCAGGAGAGATTGGCTTTGAGAATCATGAAACTGTGGCCTATGAATTCATGTCCCAGGTGAGTGTCCAACTATTACAGTCACTGTCCTGTGCTACCTTAAATTTGGCCTGGTTAGGTTTCCTGAATGTTGAACCATCCAGTGTGATTAAAACATCTGAAATGATTGACAGCTAATGCTACTAGGTAGAAACACCTCATCTTCATTCTTGCTTCCCAGGCTGCTGTGGAATTAAGCTCCATTGCTACTGATTTGAATACTCAGTCTGACAGCATGTGGTATGTTGCAATGCTGCCTCCTACTCACATAGTTGGTTCACTGGAGGAGTGTAGCTTTCTCAACATAAAACGATCCTTCAGTGCTTCTAAGACTGTCTCCCAGCTCCTGTTATTTAACTGGTATTGCCCTAACCACAAGCACTCTTTGGAAGTTCTCTAAAATCTGCAGTGTTCACAACTGACATGCTGGGTTCTGCTAATTAAAATCCTTGTATCGAAACCTATTATAAACTACTCTGAAAATTCACTTAAACCTGTTACTTGGTCTTAAGTCTTATTGCAAAAACCTTCCCATCCTCCCCATCAGATAAAGAACTAATGTATTTAATGTTATCCATGTTGCAAGCTTTGTCCTAATCTTTCTTCTAATACTGCTACTAATGCACGTTCCTAAACTGATAACCTCAGCCTTTCCTCACTGTCTTGTATCAGTTGCCATTGTAGCACACTTCTGAAGATGAGAGCAGCATGACAATTATGTACCTTCTATTAGAGAGATGGTTCAAGATTTTTAGTCTGGTGTGTTCTCTCAAAGCTCTTCATCCATGTAGCAGCAGTGCAAACGCTCTTCTTACTACTGTCGTCACTGACCTACCACTCAACTTCTGCTCTGTTTTGTGTGTTTCAAAGAACCAAGCCGTCTTTAGGGACTATTTCTGCTACTGAAGTTCCATATTTGAACAGATGCTTGAAATGAGGAAAAACTCAATCTTCAGAGTATATGTGGGATCACATTTGTTTACTATGGCCACTTAAGTAAGAAGTATTTCTTGCAAGACTTATTTCCAGTCTGTGGATTTAGCTTGATTTTGACACTCTCAATGAAAGATCTTTTTTTCTGCCTGAAGCTTTTAACAAATGTAAAACTGGACACTTTCCTGCCATGTCACTATAGCAAGTGTGATTTGGTTTTTTTTCTGATGTGTTCTAAAGCAGTGATTGAGAGTCTTGCTTTCTCCCTTGACTAGGCCTTCTCTCTCTATGAAGATGAAATTAGTGATTCAAAAGCACAGCTGGCTGCAATCACCTTGATAATTGGGACATTTGAGAGGATGAAGTGCTTCAGTGAGGAGAACCATGAGCCTTTGAGGACTCAGTGTGCGCTGGCAGCCTCTAAGCTCCTTAAGAAGCCAGACCAATGCCGGGCTGTGAGCACTTGTGCCCATCTGTTTTGGTCTGGCCGAAATACTGACAAGAATGGAGAGGAGGTAAGAATAAAGCAACAGCAGTGTAACACATCCTACCTTAGTAACATAGTTCTGCCTTTCTTCTGAAGGCACTTACTTCTAAAGTAGCTACATCGCTTAGTGATACAGATTTCATGGGAATGTATTCTAATATATGAAGTTTTTAAATCTCACTGCAGCGTAAGCTGCATAAATACAAAAATGGAGAAAACTCAAATTTAAGGGTGGAAGTACCATGCAAGCTTTTGAGTGTCAATGAGTTTAAGACTGGCTGTAAAAGTACAGTCTGCGTTTTGCATGTGTTTATTATAGTAGCTGTGTTTGCACGTGAACTACTAAACTTCCAAATCAAAGATACAAGTTGTTGAACTTAAAGGTAAAAAAAAATTGTGTTCTTCAGGGCTTGTCACATAAGCTGTTGTAATTATAAAGAGCAGTGTCTGAAATCTGTTTCTCAAAGCATGCATTGGTGTACATATTACAAAATTGAGTTCATTGATCTCATAATTGAAGGCTTTCAACAACTATTCATGTTATTGCCTGATTTAGCAAAACTTAAAATTGGTCACTGTCAGGCAAGGTAAGCTTTCAATGACTGCTATTTCTGCACAGTTGTGTAGTTTTGTGTTTCTGTGGTAGACCACCAGGAAATGCCATATATGTGCCAAGGGAAGAGATACTGGAGCTCCCTAAGGTTCTTTTATTTCTTGTAATTGTTTTTTTCCTTCTAGCTTCATGGAGGAAAAAGAGTGATGGAATGCCTAAAGAAGGCTCTGAAGATAGCAAATCAGTGCATGGACCCTTCTCTGCAAGTCCAACTTTTCATAGAAATTCTGAATAGATATATCTATTTTTATGAAAAGGAAAATGAGGCGGTGAGTGGAAATGCATTCTCTGTATTGCATCTTTTTTAAAGAGCATTTCTTTAAGCTCATCATTCATACTTATACCCCAAATAATGTCTCCTCAACTTGCTCTGTCGTCTCTCCTGAGAGGCACAAGTTATGGTAATAACAATAGAGTAGTCAATTCTTGATATGCTAGTAAAATTGTGGATAAAACTTCATTCTTCTTACGTGGGGGAAAACACCAAACATTTGCAGTTTAGTTATGAACTAAAATATTGTGAGACTTGGATACCTGAAATATTTATTAGATCAAAACTTACTAGGACTTAGAATCTTACTACTTTCTCATCTAACTTTGGAGGTACCTAACTTAATATGTACATAAGGGAAAGAAAATTCTTACAGCTGTTCAAGGTCACTGCTGAGTGCACCACAAATGGTTGGTGTAAACTTTAATTTCAAGAAATACATACATCACCTCATGTACCAGCTTAAATTCTGCATCTGAAATCTGAGATAGTTACCTCATACACTTTCTGTTAGCAGATAACTAGTAAACTTACCTGGTTTGAAAAAGCTGCTTGGTCAAGTAGAGATCAACATCCTGTCTGATGTCATCATTTGATCAAGAGCAGATGTTAATGAATACCCTGTAGTTCTGAGGGAATGTCTAAAGAGATTTTAGGGATTTGCTGACTTTCCAGCAACTGAACTGGCTTCCCGCTATAGTAGTGCTCTAGTATAGGAGATGCTGTATCTGATGGAGATGAAAATAAGACTTTTAATTTCAAAGCACTTGGCAGATGTAAAAATAGTCTCTGGATACAGTGGTGGTCTGCAGTGCATTTTGTGCTGTGGTGTTCTGTGTAGTGCTGGACTTAACACCATAGGCAGCCGTATTTTGCTAGGTAATGACTTGGTCACCAAGAATAACTTTAAATCTGATATTACCATGCTGACTGACTTCTACAAGAAACAGATTATGTTAGAGTGATTATGTGCTTTATTTGTTTAAAGCTTTTAAAATTTGTATTGAATAAACTGGAGAGAAATGCTGTGGTAAAAGTTACAAAGCTATCAGGTTAATGGCTTAAGAAGTTCTTCACATTTGCTGGGATGGGGGGAATTTCCACAAAACTCTGAAATCAGAATGGTCCTATGAGGAGCAAGAGAAGGCAGCCTCCAACAGTTTGTCTGCGTGCAGTCTTATCAATACTTATCAATCTTATCAATGAAGAACTGTCCAAAAACCAATAGTTTAGAGACAAGTCTGTTAAAACTAATGTCTGTACACTTATACACAGGTCTGGTTGATGACTTCTGTCCTGTTTACGTTCTCCTGTAGGTGACAATTCAGGTTTTGAATCAGCTTATACAGAAGATAAGAGAAGATCTCCCAAACCTTGAGTCTACTGAAGAAACAGAACAAATTAACAAACACTTTCACAACACACTGGAGCACTTGCGTCTGAGGAGGGAATCACCAGAATCTGAGGGGCCAATTTATGAAGGTCTTGTTCTTTAGGAAGATACACACTGTACTTACTTCTTTTCATTTACATACCATATGTTTTTTTAAGATAGATTCATAGGTTGTGCCTTTCGGAAACATCAAGTTAACATTTATGTGTTCAGTCTGGCACTTCAAACACTTGTGTTGAATGCTCTAACAAATTTGAAAGGTTGGACCAGCAACTACAGGTTTCATCAGTTAGCATGGCTGAAACTGTCTTTGAAATCCATGTGACATGGTAGGGCTCTTCCGGTTCTGACTTCTCTTCTGTCTGTTCACTGTTGCTTCTGTAGCACTAGAGTTCTAAACTGGCAGTGGCTGTCATCTGAAACTGTGTCTGATCCTTACAGAGCATCAGATTTTTGGGATTATTGTATGTCAGATTCTGCTTGTGCTTTTCTTTTAATGCAAGTTAAGACTAAGTGTAATATTTTTCCCTGAAAACTAGAATATATTAATGCATGTTTGGAGAGTTTTAAAGTGCCATGTTCAAAAACAGAAGTTCTATTTTGCATATTAAGGCTCTGTGACATTCAGTGAGGGCCAGTACTGTGCACAGGGCATATTTATCAAGATAATTTTGTTCCAAATAGTATAAAAAAAATAGAGAAATTGCAATCTATAGATATGTATAACCTTCATTACTGTAAATTTAGGGGAAAATGCATTACACGAGTTTATTCAGCATCATGATTTTGCACCAGTGAAACAATAAAGTTGCTATTAACATCCGTTGTTTCATGTCTCTTCAGAGCCCACTGTTGAACCCAATGCTAATGTTGAACCTTCTGATAAAAGCAAAGGAACTTCTGTTTTGTAGGGATAGAAGAATCAAGGCATAGTTAACCTGGACAAGCTGGGAGGCTGCTAGCATTTCTAATGTAGAATTTTATCATTCAAAACCACTAGTTTTTTCCAAATGATGCTGAGACGATGTGTGTTCACATGTCAAAATGCTTTTGTGACATATCTTCAGAGTGGTGGAGAATCCTACTGGATTCCAGGTCTGTGCTAGAGATGAGTGGCAATTAAATGACAAAGCTGTAGGAAATTGAGCAGTAGAGCAATTGCCAATGGCAACTCCTGTGAAGACTGGTCTAGTCTGTAGGTTAATGCCAGTGGCTGAAAACTTTGAAATGTCTGTTTTACCTTAACTGAATGTAATGTTCTAAAGCTAACTGATTGAACTTCCTTACTCCTTGAGTTGACCACTGTTGTGAAAATTGTCCTGGCTTGAATGGATAGTGCATGAGACCTTGGTGGGAGTGTCCAATAATGTAGTGCTGCCTGTTTTCTGAAAAAGGCAAATACGATCCTAGGAAACAAGAATTATGGAGTAGACAACAACTAGATCATTGATCTACTGATGTATAAGTCTGGCTTGGAGGGGAGGAGGAATGGGGAGATAATTTAATGGCTTTACTTGCCCAGTGGTATAATTAATGCTATTCAAAAATCTTAATGTTGCTCTGTATCTGTTGATGCTGTTCCTCTTAAGAGAACCGTTAAGCTGATTGTTTTGTTATAAAACATCCATAGCAGAACATGATGTTCATGTAGATACATTCATCTAGTAGGGATATGCCCTCCTAGTTTACAATATTTGCTAACCATGTTTGTGTAATCCTCAAGGTCAGTCCTTGTAACTTAGGAATTGTCTTTGAATAATGGTTTTGCGGTTTCAACTGCAGTTACCCAAATGTTGTAGGCCAGTGTATTTTCCTGTGTACCACTTGTTAAGGCTACAGAGTTATGATTCTTCCACAGTTCTTAATTACTTTTATTGAAATTTTACAAAGTAAATAATTTCAAAATACTGTCTGTAAACTTTAAGATCAACTGTACTAACATGCATCTTGGCTGTGGCAATGGACAACTACGGCTGTTCAATAGCTATCACTTGTCAGCAAAGGAAAGCATCTGTTAAGCTACATAGAAAATGCTTATGATGGTGGAAACAAACTTGTATCACTAGTGATGTTCAAATTGATACTGCTTGTGGGACAAATCTAGTCAAAACTCAGGATCTAGCTGTGTGAGCTTCTCTTGTGGCAGAGGCAGAATGGCAGAAATGGTATGTAGTTGTTTATGTTCTTGTTTTTCACACTCATGGTCAATAGCAAGGCTGTGAATTTTAAGACTTCTTTGAGTCATGCTATTCCCGATGCATGACTTGGAAAACGTCTCAACACTTCAAGTAATACTTTTTTGACCACTGACTTGATGGATGGATAGATTCAATGCGTGGGGTAGGGGAATACAGTATTTTTTTTTTCCTTTCAGAACTAGCCAGAACTAGTAAAAGTCTAATGGGAAATGTTTTAAAAATTACTCCAAGGGAAAGTTTACCTAAAGCTCTGTCTATAGCAAGATCTGTCTGTCACAGACCTCATAGACTAATTATGCTACTCTATACTTACAGTAGAAGATAGAGTAATACCTGTCTGTCCTGTACGGAATAGAGGTTTGACTTGAGTAGATTCCTGCCCATGCAGGATCCTGGCAGGGGGCAGGAAGTCATAGCTGAGGGAGGAACTCATGGTGAAATTATTCCAGTGTATCAATTCTCATATTTCCTGTTACAAAGCTCAAACCCCTTTTACATTCCTGTCCCTGAACTTAGTTCTACTAAAAAGTCTACTCTTATTTCTCAATCACCTTTTCCACTCAGATCAGTGCTCCCTTACCTGCTAAAATTGCTCAGCTTCTCTGGTAACCTTCTCTGGTTCTGGTGCCTCTGGTGACCAGGAAAAGCATGAGACAAGTATTTAGTTGTTTTGCATTGGTCATGATCTTGTCTGGCTTGCCACTAAGTGGGGGAAAAAGCATACTACACTTAACAGCTGAGACTCTTGGTGTCTTAGAGTGGGTTTGGGGGTAAAATATAACAGGTCCAAGGTTAACACTTCATGAAATTCCTTACCAGCAATATTTACAGTTAGTTACTAAAAGTGAGAGAGCCTGAACTCTAATTATTGGCCATGAATGTTGTATTCCCTTTTCAGCACTTTAACACCAGTGCACCATTACCAGAAAATGTACTGTTGGCATAATTTCCTAAAGAGCTCTGAGAAATTACCTTTCTTTTCATTGCTGTGACTTCTCTAGCTACATGGATGACTGTATTTCTATACATTCATAAATACGTACACTTGTACCTACTTACCAGTATTCCATAAACTATCCAGTGCACATTGCACTTAATACTTGCAGGTGAGTATTAACCAGTTTATGCTCCCACTGAAAGCAAGATGTACTAATTGTCAGCCTTCACACTTCCTTTTTTTTCACATTAAAATATGAGGATGAATTTTGGCTTTTCCTGGACACAGGAGTTTTATAAAGGCTTTCCTAAAGCTCATGTGACACAATGGGTATAGAACAGGGTTAATGGCTGAATTCACCCACAGAAGCCAAAATGAAGTCTCATAGAGTGAATACTGCACACAGTGCCCATGGCAAGCTGCTCTGATGATCATCAAAAGTGTATATGGAGCCCAACACAAACCAAACACACAGACAATAATTGCTAAAGACTTTGCTACTCTTTTATCCCGGGAAAGCCTAAATCTATTTGCCATAGTGTTAGCAATGTCCACTCTGCTGGTGGCATTGCATACACTTTCTGTAGTTTTGTAGAAACCATTCCTATGAGACTTGGTCTCGACTTCCACTTGCAGTGGTGGAAGGTCTTGATTGGCATTCAAATTTAATGACTGATTGTCAAGCTTATGTAGGCTGAGCCTTGAAGCCTTTTTGGGGGGAGAAAGGCTGCTTGCTCTCTTCTTTTCATGTTTGTGTCTATTAGCAGGTTTTAAAAAAAATACAGTGTATTCCCTTTTTTTCCCCTGGAAACTCATTTCACAGTCCTCTTGACCAGGTGATAGGTTTTCATTTCTGAGGGATGTGCGTTTCCTGATGTTGAGGTAAATACTTAAGTTAAAGTATGTAACAGTGATGAAAGGTGTAAAGAATTCAATAGTAGAGGCAATCATCAGGAAATACCAGTTGTAGAAGAATTCTGCATGACATTCTCCTTCAGGGAGGATGCTCTTTTGGGCAATGTGCTCCCAACTGAGAATGGCTGGACCATAGAGAAGAAAAGCAGCAATCCATACAGTGATAGTCTTCAGCACTGCATTTCTGGTCATCCCTTTCTGAGCCCTGTAACTGACCTGAGAGAGAGAGAAGTTAGGTCACATACATTACTAGTATCTCAAACAGTTACATGGCTACCTCGGGATATGACCCTCTCTGTCAGTTGTGAAGGTTGATAATATATTGGTTTAGGGATGAGGGTTATATCAAGCTTACTGGTACCACAGAAAAGCTATTTCTGAAATAGCCATTCCAACAAACATTATCAAGGTGACTGGATATGTTCTGAGAACGTGCATCAGCTCTTAAAAGCTAGAAAACCAAGGCTTTTCCAAGGCAAATAACCACTCCTATTACTAGAATTGGTTGTCACCAGTTGCTTACATACGCAGTTGCATTAGCTGTGACACCAGTTTACAGAAAGTCTAAAAACACAGCCCTTCAAAATTAACTTCTTTAGAATTTTTGTATCATTTAATTTAAAATACATAAAAGGATCTGAATTCATAGAACACCCATGCAAGTTCTTTTCTTTCTGGTTTGTAGAGGGAAAGCCTTTTTTTTTTTTCTTAATATGAAAATCACACAAAAAAATATTTTATGGATAACAGCTTTTACTTCTGTTTGATACACTTAATTTCATTCTTTTATGAAGTACTTGCAGAACTCCTATCTGCAATTAAGATGTATAGATGGAGTGTTGTGGTCTGCAAAGTGCTTTACAAGAGGAGTAACTAATTTCCCTTATTTAGAAAATAGAGCAGCTAAGGTGCAAAAAAAAAAAAGTATGTCAGTAATACTGAGTCAGTAAACTGTACCAGCAATAGAATTCAATAGAATCTTAAAAATCAAGATCTTCTACTTAATATTCTAATTCCCTGGTGTACTGGACAATACTCATATAGAGAATTGGAATTCAATCTTTGCATCTCTACAGTGGCCACACAGTGTTTTGGAGTATGAAGTCCTCAAGCTTGAATTCTGTATAGGATTCATGTTTACTGCCCCAATTTGTTGATCTCCAAAGCCAATGCTATTCTGGTGGAATACCCACGCAGCTGAGGAATCCTGAGTTTCCCTGAATCGGGTCTGATTTTGCAATCCTTGACAAAGCTACTAATGATTTCAGGAGCAGTCTTGTAGAAAGATTACCATTTTTATTGAGATAGAGAATAATTTAGAACTTCATATATTCCTGTTCATATGTTCTTATACTGCCCTAACCCAACAGGCAACTTCTGTACTCTTGCTTGGGGAAGAATTTTTATATGGAGGATTAATTTGAAGTATTTTAAAGTGGCTGATTTTTTTCACTTATTATGACCGGTATCCCTTTCTGTTTCTGAAACCATCCAGTCTATATATTTATACTATGTGAATAGTTGTGAGAGTTTGGTTTATGAAAGCAGAATTCATGGCTAATTCAGAACCTAGAAAATAAAGGAATTGTAAGTGTTGACTGTTTGAGAATTAATCTCTTCATTTCTCCCTCTTCAAAAAGAAGTTCGTAAAACACTAAGTTGCATTTAAACTGTTAAAGTGATCTTGCAGCCTCTCTTTGTACTGTTTGCCAAAAAAGTATCATTGCCTCTTAGTGTGATTTAGAATGAGCTATGATGTGAAATTAACGTTTTAAGGAAATGTGGGTGGAACAGGGGGCCGAAGAAAAATCAAGAAGTGTGTGTAAAAGAGTGAAACCTATTAGCAGGTAAAATGTGTTATTTTGGCACCATCCAAAATACTTCGAGGCAGTATGGTCTAGGTGAAAATGAAGTTACCTTTTGATTTTGCAAAGTCTAGTCTACTCCTTTTTCAGTAACTGACATGACTGAGGCAAGGCTCTAGTTATTTCTGTGGCTGTTACATGGAAATGGCATTTGCATCCTTTGAAAGACGTTAATGTTAATTTATATTTTGCCACTTCTGAACCATATACAGCTGTATACATCTAATTCTCTCAATAGTTTGGTACCACTGCGAGGAGATCTCTCTGCCTTGTGCTGCAGCTGGGATGCAGCTAGGCTGGCTTGGGCTATCAGTTGTCAACAAGTGCATTGCCATGTTCTGAGGGAGATGGTCTGTTTCAGCTGGGTAGTACTTTTTAAGCTTATCCAAGGTATGGCTGGGAAGGAAGGAAGTACACCTTGTTCCCTCTGACCTTCTAGCCCAAACAGCAGCATATAGAAACTGTGTCTGTTTCTAAAACAGAGTACCTCTTCCACTGTAAAAGTGAGAAGCAAATGTCTTTTCTACCAAACCTGATCACTCCCAGAACTATTTCCAAGACCGAGGGGAACTGCCTAGCTACCCCCCGTCTCCTGTGGTGTTTGAGTGAGGTGCAATGGGGTTGAGAGCCAGGTGACCTAAGCAAACCATCCTGCTTGAAAGGGCAGCCTTGGAGCCCCTGCAGACCACCCTCAGGACCGCTTGCCCAGCCCTTACCGCTTTGGTGACAGAGATGAACCTGTCGAAGCTGATAAGGACGATGTTGAAGACGGAGGCGGTGCACACCAGGTAGTCTACCACCAGCCACAGCTTACACAAGCCCCTGCCCAGTCTCCACTTGCCCGTCAGCACGTAGGGGATGTAGAGGGGGATGCAGAAGCCGCCTGCGGACAGAGCTTGGCGGTGACGCGTGCAGTGCCACGGACCGCAACCCTCCGCCCCTCCCGGCGCCCCGGAACTCACCCACCAGGAGGTCGGCGATGGCCAAGTTGAGGAAGAATAAGTTGCCCTGCGTGCGGAGGCTCCGGTCCACCACGAATGCCAGAATGACCAGGGCATTGCCCAACACCGTGGCCAGCACCA